TCCAACTACAGACGTGAGTTTTCCAGGAAGCTAAGGAACCCTAGGCTGCAGGATCCCTCTGCTGCAGGGCCCCTTTCAAGTCCAGGGAGGGGCTGTAGCACATGGGCCACTTTGTGTTCGTTCGTAAAGAGGGTCCCCAAAACTGACCCTTCAGGCCTTATCATACCTGGGACTGCCCCTGCCAACATTATTCTCTGGTCTGTGGGTGTAATGGTCCTGGAAATCACACATCAAAGACACAAAGCCTTCATCAGCCTGGATCCCTGTAGACTTCATGGAGCAGAGCCATCCACCACCACCAGCACCTGCCACCGAGCAGACACACCTGCAATGATTGATTGTGTCAAGCCACCAAAATGTTGGGCTTTATTACAGGACTTAGTATCACCCTAACGAACACATGCCTTACTTTATATAATTCTCTTACATACCTCATGTTGCTGTGAAGCACAGAGACCTAAGTACACCAGGTCACACAGCTATCAGGAACAGAGCTAGACTCAGACCTCCTGGACACTGATGGAGGCAGCGGATCCCTGGCTTGAGAGCACATGGTTAGACTCCAGTTTTCCACTTTCTACCAAGAACCCAGACCTGAGGAGTGTCAGGGAGGGTGGTTCTGGACCTCAGTAATCTCAATGCAAATGGACCTAACTATTCTACCCACTTCCTAGGTTTTGTGAGGGTTAAATAAAATAATCCATGTAAAATATTTAGCAGAGTGCTTGGCTTGTAGTAACCACTCAACAATGGCAGTGCCAATCATTACAACAACCCCATGGTCTTCATCACTGTGTCCTCTTCCCGTTTGGGGTGGCTTTCCACATTGCACTATACCAACGCCTGAGTGAACACGCTCACCACTGCTTGGCATGGAAGACTTTTCTTCTCAGAAACAATACAGAAAACAACACACTCACCCACCCCCCAACCCCAGCCCACCTGCCCCCAACTCAAAGTCTCCTTAATCTGATTTTCCACAAATGAAGGTCATTGTGGGATGATTACTCTGTTGTCCTCTTGGTGTTAGGAGCTGAGAAGTATATTTACTTCTTGAACATTTTTCACAAATGTGCCCAATATGCATGGTGCTGGCCTTGCTATGAACACGAGTCATCAATGCATTGGAGAAAAGAATGCAGTCATAACAAAGACAGCTGGACACTGGGGGCTGGGGCTCACTAACTTTGTAGCACGAAGCCCGGTGAAGGAGAAGTTTTTTAGGACCACAACATTCCCTGTAAATTTTCAGGGAGAAAAGAGGAGCAAGAAAAGAAGTCATCTGAGAGTGTAATCAGCTGAAAGTTTGCTTACTTTAGACAGAGTGCAATAAAATATGGCCTTTGCTATTTTTACTGGACTGCATACTGGTTAGACCCTAAGTCCCAAATCAGTGACTACATTCTGCAAACACATGATTTATTGCACTGAATCAGCCACAAACCACACTTACATCTCATAGAGGGACAGGAATGTATGAAAAAGAAAAGACAGCATAGGTTCTTAGATGGGCTGCCCTTGAAGGCAATTTGAGTGATGCTGCATTCCTAATCCATCGCTTCCTCACCAGCCCTGACCAGGATCTCTGCCCTAAGCCTGTGTGCCCCTTCTCCACTCAGGGAGCTGCTGCCCTGCCTGGGACTCTGCCAAGACAATTAGCAGGTGTCTGTTTCTCCTCTGCCTGATCTTAGCCTTGAGCAGGCTTCATCTTCCTTCACTGTCTTTCTCACAAGGCCACGGGTACACCAGCCAAATAAAACTGCAGCCAACTCAGCTTTCTCTTCTTGCCACACAGGTTTCAGGATTTGTGGGGAAGACACTCAGGGTCTCATCCCAAGACTCTGAATGTGTGATACTATCACAACCCACTGGCACCCAGTCACATCCCATTCCCAGAAGGCATTCTCCTTTAGTTCTCCAGCCATCTTTCAACAGTCATCCATCAACAGATGTTTATGAGCAATCAATAAGTTAGGTTCTGGGTGATCACGGGAAACAAGGTAGATGTGACCCTGCTCCCTGGGCATTTACAGCTTCGTGGGGTGCACCCTTTTGTACAAGGAAGTAGGCAGTTACAGCATAGGGCAATTATGCAAGCTAAGGGACATTCTGGATCCTAGAAGAAGCCACTAAACCAGGCTGGAGAGTGTTGGGTAAGACTTGCTGGAGGACAAAGGAATACAGCTGCTCAGGTTGGTGGAGACTGGGGAGTGGAACAGGGGAGAACATTCCAGAAAAAGGAGCAGATTCAAAGGTTCTGAAACAAGGGTGCACCCTGAGTTTAAGGAATTGAGAAATTACTATTGGGAACAGTGGAGTGTAGGAAGGAGGGAGCAATGAGTAAGGAAACAGAGGGAGTGGGCCAGGGCATGCCAGTCCAGAGGCCATGCTAAGGAATTTGAGTTTTATTCTAGGGGGAATGGGGGCCATCAAAGGGTTTCAGCCAGGGATATAGTCTTATAAAACCAGAGAGTTGCATTTCATAAACTCCTCTTAGTGATAGATCATACAACTGCTGAATGTGGAAAAGTCTGAAGGTAACGACTTGGCTGGAGGTGGCTGAGGGAACCCAGCAGGGATTGGGTGGCATCTGAACAAGACGGTGGTGACCAGGTGCAGGGGGGTGGACACACTGGAGGGACTGTTTAGGTGGAACTGGTTGGCAGTTGTCTTACTCTGGTTGCACTGCTGTAACAAAATACCATAAATTGGGTGGCTTATAAACAACAGACGTTTATCTGACAGTTCTGGAGGCTGGGAAGTCAAAGATCAATGCATCCGCAGATTCACTGTCTGGCGGGTGCCCACTTTCTGGCTCACAGACGGTGCCGTCTCGCTGCATCCCCACATAGTGGAAGTGACAAGACAGCTCTAGAGGCCTCTTTTCTAAGGGCACCAACCCTGTTCATCAGGGCTTCTGTCTTCACGATCTCATCATTTCGCAAGGCCTCACTTCTGACACCATCACCTTGGGGGTTAGATTTCAGCATCGAATTTTAGGGGGACACAACTTTCAGCCCGTGGCAAGAATGGAGAGAATAATACAAAAAACAGTGGATAGATATGTGGAGAAGCAAGACAGTAAACTCAGGAACTGGGACGTTTCTCTGTGGGTCAGAGGAATGAGTTCAGAGTGGGGCATGTTGAGTTTGAGTTTTCCAGTATGCAGTTAGCTGCACGAGCTGAGCAAATGATATTTAATAATACACTATTTTGGGTTGTTTTTTTCAGTTCATACCAAGTTACTTATGTGTATGTATTCAACTTTTAAAAGATAACTTGAGTAAATCTTTTCTTTTTTTTTTTTTTTTTTGAGACAAAGTCTCGCTCTATCATCCAGGCTGGAGTGCAGTGGTGCGATCTCAGCTCACTGCTACCTCTGCCTCCTGGGTTCAAGCAATTCTCCTGCCTCAGCCTTCTGAGTAGCTGCCACTACAGGCGCACACTACTTCTTCTGGCTACTTTTTGTATTTTTAGTAGAGACGGGGTTTCACCATGTTGGTCAGGCTGGTCTTGAAATCCTGACCTCATGATTCACCTGCCTCGGGCTCCCAAAGTGCTGGGATTACAGGCATGAGCCACCGCGCCCGGCCGAGTAAATCTTAACATTAAAACACATTGTGAGACTAGAAATTTTTATAACTTTCTCACAATGATACTCTTTCTTCAGCATATGAACCATTTCAGTAAGGCCTCCTACCGCACTGGACTCTCCCCTTAATAAAATCTACTGTCACCAAGCCAGTATTTGATCAATGGTGTTGAAAAGCAGGTTTTACTAATTCTCAGACAAAGCTCCTGTTTCATAGGAGAGCTCCAAAGATTCCTGCAGGCTGCACACTAGGGATGCCAAACAAAAGGATATTTTTCAACAACAGCCAATATAAAGAAGAGGGAGGAGAAAAACCCAACAGCCCAACTGAGAAATGGACAAAGGAAATGAACAGATAGTTGCAGTAAAAGAAATACAATGGCCCTGAAACATTCAGAGATCACTCAAAACAGGAGAAATGTAAACTAAAACTATACTGAGACATCATTTTCCATCACGAGATGAGCAAAGATGAAGGAGTTTGTTCACATGCTGCATTGGTGAGGGCTTGGGCAACAGATTCTTTATAAAGGAGACATAAATTGGTACAATCTCCACAGAAGGAAATTCATCAACATCCCAAAATTTAATGTGCCCAAAACATTCTTCTCAGCATATCAATATTAATAATTCTGATTGACCAACATGCTTACACTTGTGTGAAATGGTTTAAGTTCATAGTTATTCACAGAAGCATGGAAAAAACTGAAAGCCTATCCATAGAGACCTGGTTTATGTAATATGTTATAACCACAGAACAGAATACCATGCAGCCAGAATACCATTGTAAAGATTTAAAACGGTGAAAACAACCCAAATTTCCATCAGCAGGTGAAGAATAAACAAAATGTGGTCTGTATACATTACGGAATATTACTCAGCCTTAAAAATGAACAAAACTGGCTGGGCACAGTGTCTCATGCCTGTAATCCCAGCACTTTAGAAGGCCAAGGCGGGCAGATCACCTGAGGGGTCAGGAGTTCAAGACCAGCCTGGCCAACACAATGAAAGCCCATCTCTACTAAAAAATACAAAAATTAGCCAGGCGTGGTAGTAGCTGCCTGTAATCCCAGCAACTCAGGAGACTGAGGCAGGAGAATTGCTTGAACCCAGGAGACAGAGGTTGCAGTGAACTGAGACTGCGCCACTGCACTCCAGCCTGGGTGACAGAGTGAGACTCTGTCTCAAAAAAAAAAAAAGAAAAAGAAAAAAAATTCTGACATATGCCACAACATACACGGGCCTTAAGAACATTACATTATGTGAAATAAGCCAGATGCTAAAGGACAAATACTGTAGAATCCGCTTATAAGTGGTACCTAGAGTAGTTAAATTCATAGAGACAGAAAGTAGAATGGTGGTTGCCAGGGGCTGGAGAGGGGAGTGCGGAATTCCAATTGTGTGAGATAGAAAGAGTTCTGCAGATGGGTGGAGGTGAAGGTTGCACAACAATGTGAATGTGCTGAATGCTGCTGAACTGCACACTTCAAAACGGTAAATAAAACACCAAACTTTTCCAATCTGGAGCTTTTACCTTCTAATTAGTCAACATATAATTGCATAACCAAATTCTTACTGGCAAAATCAGGTCTTTTGGAGGAAAGAAAATGCTTAATTCAGTGGCTGACTGCCTATATTGGCTAAATACAAACAAGGTTGCAAAAATAATTTTGGCAGATTCCCAGAGCTAAGAGTAATGAACATAATATTTAACCTTAGAAGTGCTTAAAACTTTTCTGCAAAGAATAGAACTCTGCTATCAGGGGAACTATGGATTTTTACATTATTCAAGCTATCTTTTATCCACTGAAAATGTATTTTACAAATAGTGTGGTTCCTCATTTCCAGGTCATAGACATATTCTAACAGCCAAGAAAATATTTTCTGAAATACCACATTAGCTATCTAAATAGAGACACAACCACTGAAAGAAAACCTGCTAAATAAGACCCCAAGATTACCTATCCGATAAACTAAGAGATCTGCTTTCATTATAAATGAATGTCTCATTTTACTAAGAGGTTCAGTGTAGGTTTCAATCCTCTAGTTCATTTAAAGTATCAATCCAGGCTATTCTAGGCACACTGCCTATGGGGTAGGCCTGCCCCAGGTGGAGCAGTAACACACACACACACACACACACACACACACACACACAGAGATATATCCATTCACCTCCAAAATACCAAGATTTGAAACTTGTCAAGATTTCCCATAATGTAAAATGATAGGTGACTGTGCTTCACTCTAAATATACTGAACTCCCTGCACAACAAGATCCCATGATGTTTCCAATCTCAGGAAACGACGGGCGTCTGCGCCTGAGATGGAATACAACAGCAAAAACAGCCTGAAGTGACCGAAATTCCTGTGGCCAAATGACTGCTGCATGGCCCCGATGCTCTCTCTCAAGGCTAAGACATCAAAGCCAGGAGCAGCTGAAGACAACGCTGTTTCACAAAGGAGCAAACCAAAAGGATAAAGGTGAGAAATCCACATCTTGAAACATTTTCCCAGACAGACTTTCCCAACCTTGTGTATAAAAACAGGGAGATACCATCATCCTTGCAGCTTCCTAGAGACACCAGGGGACTCATGGATAAAAGGCCAAGGGGTTGATACTTGAGAAACATTTGGGATTCTTAGAGAAGACACGTTCCATTTTAGGCTGGTTTTTAGAAGGAGCAGAAGGGACCTTAAAAACTAATCAAAACCCTCTTCCTGCAGATGACACATGTACATCTTTGGGAATCTGGCTCGATAAGCATTTATGCAAGGTCCCAGGTCCCCCGATGCTCCTCTGCCCCATTCTGATCCGTGTCTTGTTATCTAAATAAAATTCTTAGATGCCCTAGTTTTCACGGCGCAAAGGCTTTGCGCAACAAAAATAACATTTTGTTTGTTTGGAATTTGGCATCTAGTTTCCTTAGAAAGAGGTTACACGATGACTAGGTCCCTGGGCCAGCCGAAATACCATGGTATGCTAAAAACACCTGCAAACCTAACCCCCAAAACTGCATTTATTATTCCAACTTGAAATGCCAGGAAGGATGGAATGAGCGACAGCTTCACTCCCTTCTCCCCGGGGACTCCTCCAGCTCCAAATCACTGCTGATATCATGAAGCGGGGAGCTGAGGTCCGCGGGTGAGGAGAAGGGCACCTGCGGCTAATCCAGGTGACACTTGGTCCCCGGGCTGGCTTCCTCTTCCCTGTGTGTCTCTTCTCCCATCCGTCTCAGCAATATGAACCGGGGGCTGTTGTCCTCTCTTCAGTCACCATCTAGGGTTGTGACCAGCATTTTTCTCCTCTGCCTGCTGTTGCCCTCAATACAGTCTTATATTCTTATGTTGCCTCCGTATCCTTCTGTCCTGGAAATGAACACTCAGGCACTTTTAAGACTTTCCAGTGATTTATGACTACCATCAATAATGAAGAAAGAACAGCCCTCTCCTCCTCTTCTTCAGCCCAGTCCCTCTTTTATTTCCTTCAGACCCTGATGAAATTCCTCCAGGAAGATAAGGCTTGAAACCCCACAGCCAGACTCACCCTGGGGTAGACACATCCAGAGCTAGGATTTCGTGAGCTGCCCTCACCAGACTGGAGGAAGACCCTGAGCTGAAAAATGGGACACAGCCTGGATTGGGCTTGGGGTGATGCGAACATGCAGGAGACAGGTAGGAGGAAAGACACCACAGCAAGGGAGGATCTGGGCCTCTGGCCATTGAGGCCCCACAACAGGCATTCCTGGGGTGGCCACACCATGACACAACCTTTCCCATGATTCCCTGTGTGCACGGCCGCTCACCCTCAGCCGGATCATAAACTATTCAGGAAGAAAGGTCATGACACATCTCGTGCCCCCGTCAGCACTGAGTATACAGGCTGTGACTGGTCAATACTTGTTGAGTGGTTTGAACTTCCAGGCCACTCACCGTCATTACCATCTTCGGTAGCAGAGGGGAAGAAAGGGCATTTCACTATGTGCAGCCTGAGGAAGCCATCAACAGCCAGAATAACTGTCTTCCTTCACTCTTTACACATTTGTGTTTGGTGGTTCTGTTCCTTAATTTGAGGAGAGTGCATCCAAGGCGAGCATTTTGATTAAAAGCTGCTATAAAAGCAACAACTGAAGAGACCAGCTCACCTCCTGAATCTGTGCCAGATGATTTGCACAGCTGGCCAGTTACACAGATGTCTGGCTCAAATAAGGAGAAACAGACCATTCTACCTTGCAGGGACTTGCATCACATTCAAAGCTGACTTTTCAAACTCCAAGTGCTGGCACTAATCCCTGTTCTAATTAAGTAGGCACAGCTCTCAGAAACAGGCAGCGTTTTTTGGCTGGGATAACCGTGACTCTTCCACACAAGAATCTGGTTCTGAAAGCGCCTGTCAGGGAAAGCTGCTGGATCTTGTCCAAGCAGTGCATTCCGAACGCTTTCCGTGTTCCTTGGAAAAGCTCCACCAGGTGTGCTGGCGCCCTGTTCTTCAGCAGGGATACTGCAGAATTTCATCCGGGGCCTCACACTCGGAAGCAAAGAGGAACGACTGGGGGGAATGCGAGGAGGACACAGACCACAACTCCACCACTCACGGTGGGAAGGGCAGGCGCCGCGGGGCTATGACAGAAACAGATTCCTAGAACAATGCACACGGTTTCTATTCAACTTACAGAGAAGGGCCAAGAAGCAACCTCTTAAAATTCTTCCAGCAAATGACAAGACATTAAATGGATAAAATAGAAGACTACTCTCCTCCCTCCCTTTGAAGGCAGAATATAAAGTAATGAAGGAAGTTAAGGAGACAAACGCAGGTACTTTGAGACGCTGGTGACTGGTGAATCCCGGAACTTCTGCGGCAGAAGACTCCGCAACCTTCTTCTCTGGCTGACTGGAAACACAGTATTGATTTCTACCTTTACAAAGCAGACACTATGTAGTCCAGCCAAGGGCAAGGCACTGACCACAAGACCTGCAGGCTTCCCTCTAGACCCTGTTATTTCATGACCACGTATTTTAACAATTGGAGTTTTTGCCACGCATTCCAATTACACCCTTGTTAGTTGCTCAATGCCTTAGTGAAAACCTTCAGATTCTACTGGCTGCCCTTCACAAACAGTCTGAAATGCTCTGCCACAGGTATCTTGTTAGAAATAAGCATGGATCACGCCATGCAGGCGGAAGGTTGCCCAGCTTACCTTCATGGCCAGGATTCTTTGAGGCCTACGCTTCGCGGTCTGCACGGTGTTGCCATTTCATCTTCATCAGGCCTGTTGTGTTGCACAGGCAGCGAATATGACTCCAAGCACTCCGCAGCTCAAAAAATGCAGATACACACGTCACCGCTAGCTGGAACTAGGGTTCATCTTCCCTGGTCAGAGCTTGGAAAGGTTTGAAGCTAGCCCTGCAGAGAGGAGAGTGGAAATAAATTATGAAGCAAGCTAAATAGAGAATTCAGTTCTGGATTTTTGAAAAAACAACCAGCAGAATATACTAATGTAAAAATAAATGGCCACTATTTGCTCAACCATTTATTTGCGCTAAGAGAAAATACTAACGAGAATAACAAAGTAATTGAAACAGGTAACAGGTCTTGTTTTCAAAGTCATAGATCAGTGTCAACTTTGTAATTCTCTGCTCTGGGCTCAAAATGCACAGGATGAAGTCCTGACCCCAGTACCTCAGAATGGGACTGTATTTGGAGATAGGGCCTTCATAGCAGTAATTAAGGTATAATGAGGTCATATGGGTGGGCTCTAATCCAGTATGACTGGTGCTCTTATAAGCAAGGATTAGGACACAGACAATATAGGAGGTTGACCGTGTGAGGATGCAGTAAGAAGGCAGAAGGCAGTTGGTTGTAAACCAAGGAGCAAGGCATCAGAAAAAACCATCCCTGCAGACTCCCTGATCTCGGACTCCCAGCCCCCAACACTGGGACAATCAGGTCTGTTGCTTAATCCCCCAGGCTGTGGTATTTTGTGATAGCAGCCTGAAAGAAGACACTCCCCCATCCCCTCACTCCCATTTTTGAACAGTGGCTGGTTTTTGATCAACTTCACTTGACTCTTCCTTCTCACCCTCACTTCATTTTGCTCCAGAGAGCCCCTCACTAGCTCCTCCTTTCACTTGCCCTGCTTCCTTGTCTTTTAAAAGAGTTTCTCTCACATTCTTCCCAGACAGAGCAGCCGCCTTGGGGATGTGAGGGAGAGAAGGGATCTTGCACCGAGCACCCCAGAGCTGGTGAGAGACCCAGCCTCCCAAAGTTCACACATGTACCTGGTTTGCAATGGCAGAATAAAAACCATGTGAAATGGTCAGAAGATGTACCTCTTCCTTTCTGGATGACCCTGACTGACTCGTTCAACTTCTCTGAGCTTCGTTTTCTACCATGTTTGAAAAATGGTGATGTGAATTCTTGAATGGTTGTTGTAAGGCTCAATGAAGATAATGCATTGAAAAACACTTCATATGCTAATCACCACAACTCAAGTTTTTCTACCTATGAAATAGGTACTACCTAGCATTTCACAGTATAGTTTAATGAGAAAAAAAAAAAAAAAAAGCAATCAGCACATAAGCAAAACTTTTGTGACTCAGAATAGTATCTATAAAAGTATTATTTCTACTCTAGTTTTCATCAGTGCAGTAAAGTTTATTTTTGTTTTTTTCTGCCAGTTAATATTTATGAAGAGTGTTGTATTTGGTATTAGGAAGAGAATTCTAAAGACACAAAAGACCTGGTCCTTGCCTTCAGGGATTCTGCAATCTATTTGAAAAAATAAAATTGTAATAGCAAAATAACGTATAAAATTAGTTCAAAGAGGTTTTCCAGGCTGCTGTGGAAAATGCATAGCTAAGTCTTCATGCAGGACCAGCCCAGTCCATACTTGAACTTTCTAGGACAACTTTCCAGATAGAAATTTTTCCTATGACCTCTCTAATGTGGCTGCAAGTGCAAACTAAGAAATGTGACAAAACATTTAAAAAGTTAATAAAAACTTAAATGATAACTAGTGTATTTTGCTTTAAACAAATCTCATGCTATAATGATTTATTAAATACAGTACTTTAAAACACAAACATCTTTCAATGTTTTAAAATGATGAATAACCAAATTTAAATTTTCTCATTTACTTACCAGGAACCCCTGGAAAAAATATTATTGACAATGACAACATTCCAGTTGGAAAAACACATCTTCAGAATGCAATTGGTATCTGATTTTAGAAATAGGTGACTTTAGAAACATCTCAACCAAAAACAAAATTGCATTATAGTTATTGTTTTTAAGAAAATCACTTACCATTATGAATGATCAAAATATGGTCATTCAGGTAGTGAGGATTTAATGATCAAAGGGCGAAAGTTCCAAAATATATGTCGTAGCAGGGGCTTTTGGATCTTGAGCCTGACTCGCTGTGACATGAGGCTCATCACTGCACTTCTCTGAGTGCTGGACTCCTCCGGTTTTAAATGGGTCCAATAATGCCTGCCTTGAAAGAGCAAAACCCACAAGGCCAATGAAGCTGCAAGCTCAGCTGCGGTCAGTGTACCTCCTCTGGCCAGTAGCAGGGGCTGCTCTGGTGGCGTCTCACAATGAGAACGTTTTGTTTACAACCGCTTTCCCAGCACTTTCAGCTCCCTAAACTGTGAATTTTTCTTTTTTCTTTTTTTTTTTTTTTTTTTTGAGACGGAGTCTCGCTCTGTCGCCCAGGCTGGAGTGCAGTGGCCGGATCTCAGCTCACTGCAAGCTCCGCCTCCCGGGTTCCCGCCATTCTCCTGCCTCAGCTTCCCGCGTAGCTGGGACTACAGGCGCCCGCCACCTCGCCCGGCTAGTTTTTTGTATTTTTTTTAGTAGAGACGGGGTTTCACCGTGTTAGCCAGGATGGTCTCGATCTCCTGACCTCGTGATCCGCCCGCCTCGGCCTCCCAAAGTGCTGGGATTACAGGCGTGAGCCACCGCGCCCGGCCAACTGTGAATTTTTCTAATTCAGTTTTGTGTGTGCCTCTCACCACTTACCTCTCTGCTGTCAAGTCTAGCACTGCACACAGCACATAGTAGAGCCTCAATAAATGTTTGATGAATGAATATCTAAGTAAACAAATAATTTGTAAAATAGAAGCACTACTGTAGCTACAGAAAAAAACTGCTCTAAAAAAGATCATTCAAACCCCTTGCCATTTTTTCTGTAGTATATGGCTAAAACAAGTAATCTTTGACCTAGTAAGACAAACTTACCTGGCACATCTCCATGTAAGAAAATACCCATGGAAATAAAATGAGGCTGATTCTCTCCAGTCCTTTGTGAAAGTCGCATCTTTCTAAAGCATTTTAAGATCCAACAGTAGAACTGTCTGCACTTTTAGTACTGTGCCTAATATTTAGTACTGCTACCTGCTTTATTTATTTTTCTTTTGCAAATGTTTTTGGTTAGGATGTTTAAAAGGCTGAGGAACAATTCGTTTCGTGGATCCAAACCTGGTTCCGCATTTTATTTTTTAAATAATAATTAAGGAACTCCCGTCAGTAGATGGTACCTTACAAACGAGTAAACAGAATATATTTTTTAAAAAACGTTGTTGGCCAGGCGCAGTGGGTCACCCTTGTAATCCCAGCACCTAGGGAGGCCGAAGCGGGCGGATTCCCTGAGGTCAGGAGTTTGAGACCAGCCTGACCATTATGGTGAAACCCTGACGGTATTAAAAATACAAAAATCGGGCCGGCCGCGGTGGCTCGCACCTGTAATCCCAGCACCTTGGGAGGCCGAGACGGGCGGATCACGAGGTCAGGAGATCGAGACCATCCTGGCTAACACGGTGAAACCCCGTCTCTACTAAAAAATACAAAAAACTAGCCGGGCGAGGTGGCGGGCGCCTGTAGTCCCAGCTACGCGGGAGGCTGAGGCAGGAGAATGGCGAGAACCCGGGAGGCGGAGCTTGCAGTGAGCTGAGATCCGGCCACTGCACTCCAGCCTGGGCGACAGAGCGAGACTCCGTCTCAAAAAAAAAAAAAAAAAAAATCAGCCTTGTGTAATGGCGGGCGCCTGCAATCTCAGCTACGTGGGAGGCTGAGACAGGAGAATCGCTTTGAACCTGGGAGGCGGAGGTTGCAGTGAGCTTAGATCCGCCACTGCCCTCCCACCTGGGCGACAGAGTAAGACTGTCTCAAAACAAACAAACAAAACAAAACAAAACTGTTAAGTAGGAGTACTATTCTTCATGTCTTCCATCACACCACAATTCAAGTATTTTCAAAAGCAGAGCATTAAGGCATTAGTAGGTGATAGCGCAGGCGCCTTACTCCCTAACCAAGTGACAGCGGCTGCCAGCGGACTGTGGATTGACACCGAGAGACACGCGTGTCCAGCGAAGCATCAGGCTCCAGGGCTCCCGCAAGGACGCTGAGCCCGGGGCATTCCCGGTCTCCACCGCGGCCGCTCCGTCGCCCGGCAACGCAGCCACGCTGCGGCTCGGCCCCGCCCCCGCTGCCATGGCAACGCGACCGCCGAGCTGGCTTTATGCAAACGCTGCCCCGGCGCCCCTATGCGCTCGCCCCCGGGCCCCCTGGGGCTGCGGCAACTTTTCTAACCTCACCGCGCCAGCAGCTCTGTCCCTTCTCCTACCCGGAACCGCCGATCAACTTTCATCCCCACTTCAGTAAAAAAAAAAGTTCCACCGACACAGGATTTAGGACAAACGCTGCTTGGCTCTACCTTCTCCAAAAGTGCGGGCGAGGTGACAATCGACAGAGAAACCCCACTTGCCTGTCTCAGCATCCCTCCCATGTCCTCAGAGGGTCGCTGGAGGGATCCCAGCATCCAGCTCCGAGCTGGAAGTGGGAGGAAGGTCACCGAGAAGCCAACGGGAAACTGTCCCGGGTGCGCGCCGCCCCCATGCCCTGCGCCCTCTTCATTTGCTCGGCCGGGCCGGGAACTCCCAGCCGCTGGGCCCAGGACCGCGGCGAATCGGTTTCTGGCTCCCCGCCCAGCAGAGCTCACACCGGCTCTGGAGGGCTGTCTGGATGCCGCGTTTCCCTGGCGATGAGCAGTTCAGCGTCACCCTCTGCGGCCAGCTCGGCTTCCAAGGCCGGGGCTGGGCTATTGTTCGCTGTTCTTCGTGGGGAGGATGGTGGCGGGCCTGGGCTGAGCCCGGAGCGGGCTGACCCGAGGCGAATTTCTTGCAGGCCTTTTCTCTCCCGCTTCTCCCAATCCCTTACTGTTGCATATTCATAAGAAGGCGGGGTCGTTTCCCATCTCCTTTGAATCCCCCAGGCTTGAGGATCAGAGGAAAAGAATTGGGGTATAAGAGGTTTGGGAGGGATCACTAGGAGGCGAATAGGGTGGGAGAAAGAGTGGTGACACAGACAAGCAAATACAGGATTCCTGTTCACAATGTCTTCCCCCACTCTCGGGCAGCAAGCGAAGCGCGCGCGCGCGCACACACACACACACACACACACACTTCTTAATGCCTGAACTGGGCAAAGAAAATTTCAAAGAAATCCTGACTGAAGTGGGGATCAAGCTGCCAACACATGAACTTTGGCAGATACATTCAACCTATAGCAGACAGTAAAACTATCACGATTGGAAAACGATATAATTATATCCCAAGAGAATCGATTGTTAAACTATTAGAAGCAAGGGAAATTCGAAAATAACAATGTATCAAAGATCACTATGTGGGCTCAGTCGCAGAATGTAGGTGACAGAATTCATCAGTGAAAATGAAGGTAGACCAATAGAAATTATTCAATTGAAAAACAGAGGGCTGGCATGGTGCCTCAAACCTGTAATCCCAGCATTTTGGGAGGCCAATGTGGGGATAACTTGAGGCCAGGAGTTCAAGAGCAGCCTGGGCAACATAGCAAGACCCTATCTCTACAAAATAATATTTTTAAAAAACTTACCTGGGTGTGGTGCTGCTTGCTTGTACTCCAGCTACTCCAGTGGTTGAGGAGGGAAGATTGCTTGAGCCCGGGAGGTTGAGGGTGCAGTGAACTGTGACTGTACCACTGCACTCCACAAAATAAGACCCTGTCTCAAAAACAAACAAACAAAAAAAGACAAATAGAGAATGTCAGGAGACCTGTGAACAGCACTCCAGCCTGGGCGACAGAGAGACTCCATCTCTGAAAAAATATATATAAATAGATGAAACACTCCAACCAAAACACAGAGACTAGCAGGTGGAATATATTAATAAAAATGAGAACCTATGTGCTGTCTACAAAAGATGCTGTTCAAATGCAAAAGTACAAATGAGTCGAAAGTAAAAATGAAAAAAGACATACCATGGAAACATAAGAAAGCATGAAAAAACTGGAGTAGCTGTATTATCACAAACAGATTTTAAGAAAGAAGTGGTGCTAGAGATAAACAAGATCATCTCATAATGATATAAACCCAAAGCAAGCAGAAGGAAAGAAATAATAAAGATAACAGTGGAAATCAATGAAACAGAAAATGGACATACTAAAGAGGAAAGTGAATGGAATCAAAAGCTTGCTCTCTGAAAATATCAACAAAATTGATAAACTTTTAGCAAAACTGGTCAATTAACAATGAATGGCCATAGGCCAGGTGAGCAGTGGTCACATCTGTAATCCCAACTCTTTGGGAGGCTGAGGCAGGCGGATCACTTGAAGTCAGGAGTTTGAGAACAGTCTGACTAACATGGTAAACCCCATCTGTACTAAAAATACAAAAATTAGCCGGGTGTGGTGATGCGTGCCTGTAATCCCAGCTACTCCAGAGATGGAGGCAGGAGGACTGCTTGAACCTAGGAGGTGAAGGGATGCAGTGAGCCAATATGCACCACTGTACTCCAGCCTGGGTGACAGAGCTAGAACCTGTCTCTAAATAAATAAATAATAAAATAAAAAATTGTCAATATCAGAAATGGAAGAGAATTATTGATACAGTTCTTACAGTTATCAAAAGAAAAATAAAGAAATATTGTGAGCAA